TCATCGGCCTCCTCTACTGCAGTGTCGGCAAATCATCACTTGGCATGTTCCGAATGAACCCCACCAGAGCTCGCCATAGCCGAGGGCGGAAGAAGACTTTGATCGCCCCCAATCTGAAGTTGAACAACATCTTAGGGTGTTTGCCTTTCTCTTCTATCGCGATCCGTTTGTCCGAGACGAACACAGTGATGTCAACCAACTCCTCTGTGGTGTCGCTCAACAAGAGATCATTATCAGGCCCATTGGTGATGCTCAATGCCTTGATACCGAAGGTCAGCTTAGTGTACATATGATGGACCTTAGCCATAGCAGTGATCGCACTAGCAGAGAGATCTATACTGGGCCGACCCTCCATACAGTGGATGCTCACAGTAGTCGTAGGTATGGACACTTCAACCGATATGAAACTGGCCCAGTTGAGCTGTTCTCTGTCCCCCACCATCCCGCTTGGCCTTGCTGATTCCACTGACTTCTCCTCCTCCTTATGATGATGATGCCCGTCCTCACTAGTCGGCAATTCAAAGTTCAACCCCGTGGACTTCCTGAGCGGCCTCACCGCCGCCGCCGTCTGTGGTGGCGCCGTCGTAATGGTGGTAGTGGATGATGATACCACAGGAGTAGCCAGTAGCATGAGCCGTAGTGCACGTATAAGAGCATGATATCGATTAGCATCTAGACAGACCCTAAGAGGCTCCGTTACATCACCCCTCAGTCGAACCCTCGTCGGTGCCGGTCTCAACTTCGACGTCTCAGAGTCTTCCTCCTCCTCATTATCATCATCAATACTCAAGGGCTTTGATATTATGAATACCCTCATCCACAGTTCAACTCTGTCTAGTATAAGACTTCGGTGCCCACCCGGCCTGAGCAATTCCCCTCGAACTCCCGTCATGCCGATTTTCCATACATCGGTAGTCGGGTTTTCCAACCCCCTCTCTTTAGAGCAGACCTCAGCCACTTCAGCTGCTATACTAGTCTTCTCGAGTTCACTACGGCTAAGGGAGGCCAGGGAAAAGGTACCAAGATTGAGAACTATGTAGACTCCCGAGTTGTATGTGTGTACAGGTAACAGTATGGTTGGTGCCTCAACGCGGACCTGAC